GGCAGGCTCCATTTTGTAGGAGCGCTTCCTAGTTGTCTGGTGTCTGACTCCGGAGTAATTAGGGCAAGAAAATCATGGCCCCGACTATAAGAATATGATTTTAAAATGTGGTTGGGGATATGGGTTCTGGGTTAGTTTGTTTGCCTGTGAAAAGCATGATTGCATGTGAGTTCTTTGTATCTTTGGGAATCAACAAATATTGGGGGAAGCAGTTCTCCCAGGATCAGCAAGTCCCTAATATGTGAAAACATGAAAAATACAAAAATATTACAAAGCATAATTAATATGGCTCACAGTTGGTTTTCTTTTTTTTTCTTTTGCCATTATTTGAAATACAAGGTGAGATTCTCAGAATCTAAGTAGATAACCTTCTTAAATTCAATGAATAGTTGTTTTTAGTAGAGGATTAAATAGAGTTGACTAATTGACTAAAAACTGGAACACAAGAAAGTCTAAAAAATCCAGAATTCATGGAGAAAAAAATTCCACAGATTACTTAGAACAGGATGTAAAAGCTATATAAGACACAATAAAAAATCTAATATATGTTAATTAAATTCTAAAAGAGAAAAGAAGAAAATAATATGACAGAAGAAATATAGAAAGTCACCAAGAATTCTCCAAAGCTGAAGAAAGTTATTAAAGTATAGATTTTAGAGCTTCTGTAAACGTTAGTTGGAATATGCACAAAGTAAACCACACTGAGACATATCAGGATAAGCACAACCAATAACTCAAAGCAAAAGCAGCAGCCAGACCAAAAAAGAAATTTCATTTCCTTCAAAGCAACAATAATAATGACAAGCTAATTTTTGTTTTGTTTTGGCTTGTTTTGGGACAGAGTTTTTCTCTTGTTGCCCAAGCTGGAGTGCACTGGTGTGATCTTAGCTCACTGCAACCTTCACCTCCCAAGTTCAAGTGATTCTTCTGCCTGAGTCTCCCAACTGTCTGGGATTACAAGCACCTGCCACCATGCCCAGCTAACTTTGTATTTTTAGTAGAGACGGGGTTTCACCATGTTAGTCGGGCTGGTCTCAATCTCCTGACCTTAGTTGATCTACCTCCCTTGACCTTCCAAAGTACTGGGATTACAGGTGTGAGCCACTGTGCCTGGCCAAAACAAACTAACTTTTAATAGAAAATATGGAAGCTCAAAATTAATGGAACAAGATATTTAAAGGGTTTGGAGAAAATATTGACAACAAAAACAAAGAATTCATTGCTAACACACCAATACTAAAAGAAATACTAAAATGATTCTTTGGAAAAAAGAAAAAATATTTTAGACAAACCCATCAAATATCCAAAAGGTTAAATATGTGGATAAAATTAATATCAATTCAAAAGAATAGTAATAATAAATAATAAATGCCTTGGTTTTTAATATTTACATATGATTAAAATGCAGAATGACACAAGAGGAAAGCATTAAGAATTCTAAGGTTATAGAAAAATCAAAGAGTAAAGAGATATCAATTAGGTTCTAATTATTCAGGAATATATGATACAATCTCTTCCGGACAAAAAGAAGTACATGAATGTTTAATCAATATACTAATAGAGGAAGGAAATAAACATTTGATTAAATCAAAAGAGGAAACAAAAAGAGACAAAATACATATATAGCAGATGTATCAAATAGAAAACAAATAGAAAGATAAAAAATATAAGCATAATACAGAACTCATTTCAAATGGAAAAAGACAAAATATTCAAAGACAAATATTACTAAACTGGTTAAATCTAACAACTATGCTCCAAAACATTAGATGTTAGGGATTTGACAGAATTAAACACTCAATATCACCCATTTGTGTTCCGAAAAATAATGAAAATTAAACTATAAACCAATAGGAATAGGCACTTCATTAATATAAATAGGATTATACACAAAAATTCTTCAGAAACCATTATTCTTCATGAATTAGTAAGAGCACTTCCCTAAAGATAGGGAATGAAGAAAGGCAGTAATTGTCTTCATTTTACATTTTAATGCATAGCTTGGTCAGAGCAATATAATGGTGAAAATAATTAAATTTATAATGATTAGAATGTAAGAAAATAAACTGGCATTATTCATGGAAGGTTGATAGTGTGTGTAGTAATCAAAAAATTTTATGGATGAACTGTTGGAGATAAATAAATTTTCATTATAACACAATTACAGTTAGAAATATATTTAGTATACCTGCAATAAAAAATTGAAAATTACAATTGGTATAATTTATACCAATTTCTCTTTTCAGTACTACTGAAAGGGGGCTATATCATGTTCCTTGTTTGGAAGATTCAGCTTTTTTTGAGAGATGGTCTTATTCAGTTGTTCAGGCTGTAGTGTAGAGGCATAGTCATGGCTCACTGCAGCCTCACCCTCCTGGGCTAAAGTTATCCTCCCACTTTGGACTCCTGAGTAATTAGGACTACAGGTGTGTGCCACTATGGCCAGCTATTTTTTTTTTTTGCTAGAGACAGGATCTCATTATATTGCCCATGCTGGTCTCAAACTCCTGGCCTCCAGTGATCTTTCCACCTTGCCTCACAAAGTGCTTGGATTATAGGCATGAGCCACCAAGCCCAGCAGGGTTCAATATTTTTAATATGTTGCTGCTTCCAGTATCCTTACATGCATTTAATAAATTTACAATTTGATTTATTCCATGTGTTCTGTGGCTGGAAATGACAAATGAATATTAAAAGTCATATGCAAATTTAAAGGCAGGAATACTTATGACAATAATAAAGAAGAATGAATCTGAAGGCATTATAATATGGATACAAGATTTATAAAGCTATAGTTGTTAATATTATGTGGTACTGACACAAGCTAGACACTGCTACCAAATGGAACATAGTATTGTCTAGAAACAGACCCTTTAAATATAGTCAGTTTATGACAGAAGTGATACATAAGTACAAAAGAAATACATAAGTACAAAGGAGATAGCATGATATTTTCAATTAATGGTGCCACTGCAATTTGATATTTAAATGGAAGTATGATATAGTTTTTATATATGTATGTGTTTGTACATAGATAAATGCCTCTTTCACAGTCACACCATACACAAAAATCAATTGATGAACTATAAATCTAAATATAAAATGCAAGTCTACAGTTTCTTGAAGATAACAACGACACACTTTATGACACTGAGGGAGACAACAGTTTCTTAAATACTATAAACAGTACTTACCTAAAAGTGAAAAAATATAAACTGTATGATATTAAGAGATGTTTTTTCTTTAAAACAAACCATGAGTGAAAAAAAAGCTATTATGTGGGAGAAGATGTTTTCAATGTATACACATGAAAAAAGATAGATAATATAGAATAAACATATAGACAGATGGCAAAACAGACAGAGATATACTACATAGAGAGACAGATTCCTATACATAAAAAATATTCCCCAGAGATAACTTTTGTCCCTACTTTTTCACACAGATTTTCCTTAATTGGTCTATGTGATTAATAACATATATGTATTCTTTTGTTAATTTTTTTCCATAATTAAATGGCAGCACACTCAAAAAAAAATGTACAGACAGAGAAGCCAACAGAACCCATGAACAAAAATATAATCAGGTACTATATAAAAGCAAATGCCTAAATGGCCAATAATAAATGAAGTTTCTCAACATTTTCAGTGGGGGAAATGAGAATATATGTGCCTCTCCCTGTGAAAAATAAAACCAGCCAATAGGAAAAGTATATTAAAACTGAATTCATTTCTTAAAATCAGTGGAATCCTTTATCACAGAGCAATAAATTGCCTTTTGGTGAGCACTAAATGATAGTGGGCTTATGCAGAAGCTAATTTAGATAATTAATTCTACCACATAAGTGTTAGATACACACTTTTTTGGCACAGAGCAATAGATAAATACATATTAGTCTATAAAATCCATTTTATAACCCATCTTAATCAAATACTGTCTGCTGCATATGAGATACAATAGCATTACAGAAGATTTAGGCATCTGAGAACAATATTTTATGTGATAAAACAACCTTAAAACTCCCAGAGCATTTTAATATAATCAAGAATGTTTTTTAAAATATTAGCATAATAAACAAAAATGATCTTAGTGAAAAATACTAATATGAGAATGTAATGGACGCAAGACACTGTTCTAAGAGCTTTATGTATATTAATTTACTTAATAAAATCACACTGTGTATGAGGTTGATCACATTACATTTTCTGTTTTACAGATAACAGTGTTGAGGCAGAGAAGTTTAATAAACTGCCCAAGATCACTGTGCTTACAAGTGATGAACCCACTGTACAAATTTTGGCAATATGTTTTATATGAATTAGCATTTACTATCAGCATTTTAGAGTTAATTCCGTTTTATTGCTCTGTATTTATTTTCTCATCTTATTTCATTTGCAATCTATTCACTAATATCCCACAAATTTTGAGATTTAATAATTAAAATAGCAATGACTGGTAGTTTAAATTTTGGCTTATTGAAAAAGAAATGGGAATGACTTTCTGTAACATTTTGAATTCTTGAACATTTTATACTTTCCCTAAAGTAATGCAAATTCCCTAAGTAGTAGAATAATGCCTCATAAATCTTTCTGCCACATATACATCAAAGAGAGAATTTATTAAAAAATCTTACATTTTACCTTTGCCAAATAAAAGCTGTTTTTAACAGGTTCACATAGTTTCATTAATTTTCAGACTCCAATGGGAATTAAATTTGCAGATCATTAAATTTTTACTTCTTTTCTTTGAAATATCTCTAAATTATTATTTCTTTGTGAAAAGTAACAATATTATTTTACGTTTTTACATAATATTTACAAAATGCTACATTTTATAGCTATTCTCTCTATATGCCCAAATTTAACCAAGAAAATGGTTTCTATTTTATTACCTCAAAAATATTTGACAGTAGTGCTCTTTATGATAAGTAGAATAATGAAGAGGATGATAATTTCATTAACCGAAACTTTTTTTTTTTTTTTTTTTTTTTTTTTTTGCAGATGATAGAAACTTCATTGGCTTTGGCAAAGAAGAAATTTATTAGCTTACAAGGTAAATGGGGGAATTAAGTAATCAAATCATGGGAAGAGTAAGGATGCAGCTAAACCTTAGCATCAATGGGAGAATTTCAGACCCTATAGGAATCTACCTCTATTTTTCATCTATGTCTTTGATATTGTTTTGAAATTTCTTATTCTGGTGTGAGTTTTCCACATGTTAACGATCATATAACTAACAACTGTCAGACTTCCTGACTCACAGCATTTGCTACTTTGGAAGCACCCCCTTTCCGTTTTAAAAACACTCACAAAATCTACGTGATATTCCTACCTGGATCTGCTGCTCATCTTTGGGCAATGAACTTGTGTAATGGTGTCATGTTAAAATGGAAGAGCCCTTGAGAACCATAGGATTGGAATGGTATAATAAAGAATGTCTAAAAAGATGAAAACTGCACTTCCCAATACAGGAATAGGGTCACTGGGCTGACAAAGCAATGGTTTTCTATTTGGAATTAACATTGACAATAGTAATGGTGGTATTAGAACAGTATTTCGTTCATGTTATTATGATTGTTATTAAGAAAAATACCCTGGAAAAATTTGTTCCTAAACCTAGTTGGGAGGCAAAAATACATGAAAATATTACATAAAATCTCCATATGTTTTAGTGCAAGAATATTGATTTAAATACATGGAATAAAATAACCACTGAGACATCTCCAAATAAGGTTAAACTTCAAATAATTTTGTATATATGTATGTGTGTGTGTGTGTGTCCATACAGGTATATTTTTTGTTGCATTTTAGGTTCTGGAGTACATGTGCAGATCACGCAGGATTGCTGCATAGGTACATGCATGGCAATGTGGTTTACTGCCTCCATCCCTCCGTCACCTATATCTGGCACTTCTCACCATGTTATCCCTCCCTAACCTCCCTACCCCCAGTGTCCCTCTCCTATTCCCACCAGCAGACCCGGGGGTGTGATGCTCCCCTCCCTGTGTCCATGTGTTCTCATTGTTCAACACCCACCTAGGAGTAAGAACATGTGGTGTTTGAGTTTCTGTTCTGGTGTAAGTTTGCTGAGAATGATGGTTTCCAAATTCATCCATGTCCCTACAAAGGACATGAACTCATCATTTTTTATGGCTGCATAGTATTCCATGGTATATATGTGCCACATTTTCCTTGTCCTGTCTATCATCAATGGCCATTTGGGTTGGTTCCAGGTCTTTGCTATTGTGAACAGTGCTGCAATGAACATACACTCGTGTATGTGTCTTTATAATAGAAAGATTTATAATCCTTTGGGTATATACCCAGTAATGGGATTGCTGGGTCAAATGGATTTCTATTTCTAGGTTCTGGAGGAATTACCACACTGTCTTCCACAATCGTTGAACTAATTTACACTCCCATCAACAGTGTAAAAGTGTTCCTATTTCTCCACATCCTCTCCAGCATCTGTTGTCGCCAGATTTTTTAATGATCGCCATTCTAACTGGCATGAGATGGTATCTCAATGTGGTTTTCATTTGCCTTTCTCTAATAACCAGTGATGATGAGCATTTTTTCATATGTTTGTTGCCCTCTTATATGTCTTCTTTTGAAAAGTGTATGTTCATATCCATCACCCACTTTTGGATGGGTTTGTTTTTTTTTCTTGTAAATCTGTTTTAGTTCTTTGTAGATTCTGGATATTAGCCCTTTGTCAGATGGGTAGATTGCAAATTTTGACGCTAGCTGGTTGTTTTACCCATTAGTTGACACAGTTTCTTCATTGTGTCAGTGGTCTTTACCATATTATACATTTTTGGAGTGACTGGTACTGGTTCTTCCTTTTTATGTTTAGTGCTTCTTTCAGGATCTCATGTAAGACAGGCCTGGTGGTGATGAAATCACTCAGCAATTGCTTGTTCATAAAGGATTTTATTTCTCCTTCGCTTATGAAGCTTAGTTTGGCTGGATACGAAATTCTAGGTTGAAAGTCCTTTTTTTCAAGGATGTTGAATATTGGCCCCCACTCTTTTCTGGCTTGTAGGGTTTCTGCTGAGAGATCTGCTGTGAGTTTGATTAGCTTCCCTTTGTGGGTAACCAAACCTTTCTCGCTGCTCTTAGCATTTTTTCCTTCATTTCAACCCTGGTGAATCTGACGATTATGTGCCTTGGGGTTGCTCTTCTTGAGGAATATGTTTGTGGTGTTCTTTGTATTTCCTATATTTGAATGTTGGCCTGCCTTTGCTAGGTTGGGGAAGTTGTCCTGGATAATATCCTCAAGAGTGTTTTCCAGCTTGAATTCATTCTCTTCATCTCATTCAAATACACCTATCAAACGTAGTTTAAGTCTTTTCACATAACCCCATATTTCTTGGATGTTTTGTTCATTTCTTTTCACTCTTTTTTCTCTAATCTTGCCTTCTCATTTTATTTCATTGAGTTGATCATCAATCTTTTATCGTTTCTTCTGCTTGGTCAGTTCGGCTATTGACACTTGTGTATGCTTTGTGAGTTTCTCGTGTTGTGTTTGAGCTCTATGAAGTCATTTATATTCTTCTCTAAGCTGTTTATTCTCATTAGCATTTCATCAAACATTTTTTCAAGGTTCTTAGTTCCTTTGCATTGGGTTAGAAAATGTTCTTTTAGCTCAGAGAAGTTTGTTATTACCCACCTTCTGAAGCCTGTTTTGTCAATTCATTGGACTCATTCTCCATCCAGCTGTGTTCCCTTGCTGGTCAGGAGTTGTGATCCCTTCAAGGAGGAGAGGTGTTCTGGTTTTTGGTGTTTTTATACTTTTTGCACTGGCTTCTTCCAATCTTTGTGGATTTATGTACCTGTGGTCTTTGTAGTTGGTGACTTTCGGATGAGGTCTCTGAGTGGATGTCCTTTATGTTGATGTTGAAGTTATTTCTGTTTCTTAGTTTTCCTTCTAACAGTCAGGTCTCTCTGCTGTAGGACTGCTGGAGGTCCACTCCAGGCCCTGCTTGCCTGGGGATCACCTGCAGTGGCTGCAGAACAGTAAGGGTTGCTGCCAGTTTCTTCTTCTGTTATCTATCCCAGAGGGATACCCACCAGATGTCAGCCTGAGCTCTCCTTTCTAAGGTGTCTCTTTGGATATATGGGGGTCAGGGAGCTGCTTGAAGAGAGAGTCTGTCCCTTATAGGAGCTCAAGTGCTGAGCTGTGAGCAACATTTTTCCATTCAGAGCTGCTGGGCAGGTACGTTTAAGTCTGCTGCAGCAGAACTCATAGCTACCTTTTTTCCCAGGTGCTCTTTCCTGGGAAGTTGGGGCTTTATTTATAAGTTCCTAGTGTGTTGCTGAATTTTTTCAGAGATGCCCCGCCCACCAAGGAGGTATCCTCATCACAGTCTGCCCCTTTATATTAATTGAAAAAACATTTAAGTTTTTATAAAAACCTCTACCATGATTTTATTTTAATTAACTTATGATTTACTTTGTGGATAATTATTGAGATATTATGCTAATATCCTCTTCTATGTCATATATCTACCTACCATTCATAGAATCCACTAATCCATTGATGACTCCCCTCTCTATTCACTAGAGGGGGGACCACTATTGTGGCTGCCTAATACTAATTATATCATTCTTCCTACATTTTTTTTTCCTGCATTTGCTGCTCTCTTTTTGTCTAAGAAATTAGTATATACACACTACTTTTCTTAATGAAGTGAAAGTAGTGTGTATATATAATATGTAAATACACATACACACAAACATTTAGTCTAATGGATTTCCTTTCTATTCATTGGGTTCAGTCTGATACTCTCATTGTTTATTTGATGTTAAAATTATTCTAAATTTAGCCAATAAGAGCCATGTCAATCTGGCTACTGTGTTCTCTTCATGTTCCATTACTCTGAGCATTTCCTTATGTCTTATTTTTTGACTCAATATAATGTGCAAACTTATATTGTACTTTTCTTGTCCCCATTTTGAAATCAGCCATTTCTGCAAGGCTGCCTGCCCATTTTAGAAGATGGTATTTAGATACCAATACCCAAAAACTAGATGTGCGCAGTGCTTCTATGCCCTCCCAGTAGACAGAGCTGAAAAATATGTACAACTAGATAGATATGTAGATATACAGTTTTATTCTTATTTTTCTTGGGTTTTATATTTGTGAATCCAATTACTTGCTAAAATTTATTTGAAAGCCTAAATCAGTACTCACGATTCTTTTGCTTTATTCATGAACATGCTCAAAGTGACAAAAAATATGAGGCACCCCGTAAAGGTGTTCCCAGTTGAGATAAAATAAGGAAATGTTCTCCCTTCCTGTTTTCATCTTCATGCTATAAACAAGTGTCCTCTATGTGATCTGTTTAGGGCTACATTTTTCACGTCTTGCTGTTTTCATGATTTTGCTGTTTAAAATGACCCCAGGGTAGTGCTAAAGTGCTGCCTAATGTTCCTAAGCACAAGAAGCCTGTGATATGACGTACAGAGAAAATATGTGCTAGACAAAGTCCATTCAGGTGTGAGCTATAGTGCTGTGTTGACTATGAAATAACAATATATATTCAATAAAGTGTCTTTAAGCAGAAATACACCTACAACAAGGTTATGTAATGATCAGTTGACAAAAATGTAACCAGAGCCTCACAGGAACCTAACTATATATTTTTTTCTAAAAACAGTGGTTTTAGTTTCTGCTAATCCCCTATTCACAGCAATTGTACAGAACATAATACTTCAAATAATAAAAAACTAGTATGTATAGGCAAATGCACACATATACAACCATTTCTACTTATCAATGTGTATTTGTGTCTGTGTATGTATAAATAAAACTCACGAGTTCATATCAATATTTACAATTTCAGTCAAACACATTGGGGTTCTTTTCAGCTGTCTTCCTTTGCCAGAATTATGAATCTGTTCTCAGACAATGATAAACCTGATTCCCACACCATTAATACGTATACTTATTGTACTTTTTACTTATTATAAGTACTTATTTACTTTTTACTTATTGGAATAAGTATACATAAGTACTCACAATGTGCACTTATTGTACTTTCTACTTAATGTTACTTATTGTACTTTGTACTTCCAGTAAGTATTTGTACTTCCAATAAGTACAAAGTACAATAAATACACATTGTGAGTACTTACATTTATTCACAGATAACAATGTAAGTACAAAGTACAATAAGTACACATTGTGAGTACTTATGTCTACTCATAAATATTTTGGCATCTCTTTGGCCATATCCTTCACAGGCCCCATCTTGTCCATGCACCTGTCTGCTTCCTTGGCTTCAGAGCATTGCCTCCAAATCCTCTACAGCACAACTTCCTCCTCAGCATCCAGCCTTATGATGTACTGGGATACTGTGTTGCCCCACTCTCCTTACTACCTGTGCTGGGCTTTGAGGCTGACATCATTACACCTGTAAACCACAGGAGTGAAGAGAAGGTGAGAAGGAAAAGAGTGATGTTAAAAAAAATTGATTGAAAAGGAGATAGGATGACAAGAACATGCAGTGAATATATATGGCATATTTTCCTCTAAGGGAACATAATTTTATGAAGTTTCTGTTATAAACAACAAATGTATTTAATCTATCAATTATAAAGATACTACTATATGAAAATATGGAAGCAGTGTCAAAAGAGAGAGTGCATATTAGGGGTAAAAATATCATAGAATCCATACAATTGTACGCATAGGATAGTTAAGCTCCCTGTAAGTACTATACACAGGATTTTAGTGATATATGAGGAAACTTAGTTGCTTACTTCAATAGATCATAATGTCTTAATTAAATATTGGTGATTTTTAGTAATTATTTGAAATTTGGATTAAAATAATTATCTGAGTAAAGTCTCACAGAGATGTTAAAGCACATAAAAACACTACATAAAATACATGTTTGTGCATGTGAGAAAAGTGTGCATGTATAATAAATAAACCTGCCAAAAATTTGAATTTGGTACCAGACTTTAGAAAGCTGCTACAAATTAGAGGTGGCTAATATTTTAACATATCTTTCATTACTTTATATTGTATTAATAAATAGTGAAAAAGAGAAATTTTAAAATAGCCTATCTTGTATCTTACATTATTTAAAACTATTATATTATTACAAATCAGGTAATAATATAATATAACGTAACTGCTGGAAGTCCAATTTATATGTGTATTTCTAATTGTCTTCATTAATTAAATATTTGAAGTCAAATGCAGACATATAGCCAGCTCCAGAGATTCTTAGCAAATTAAAAGGTTAGTGATCTAATAATTTGGTTGGATAAATAAACTGCATAGAAAGGAAAATGAAGGTTTAAGGCAATTCTTGAAATAATGAAAGGCAAACAAATGCCTTTTTATTAATACAGGGTGTGTGTGTGTGTGTGTGTGTGTATGATTGATTGATTTGGCCTCCTTGATTTTTTTTTCAAGGCCTTGGCTAAGTATAAATCAGCATATATGTATATACACATGCCTTCTTTTTTATAGTAGAAAAAATCCTACATTTTCATGAATTATAAAAAATGTTGAGATACAAGAAAGAAATTGTGGAAAAGAGTGATCATACATTGAGTCATCTATTTCAAAATGCCATTGAGATCAAGTACCTATTCTGCCATAATTTATAATTTTTTATTTAGCATGTCATAATTTTTTAAATAATGTGACATATTAGTGTTCATATTTTCTCAGGATATATAAGCTATAGTGAAAAATTAGACGGAGTTAAAAAATTATTTGGAAAAAATAAAGCACTTTGTGAAAGATTAGAATTTATTTATATAAAACATCTAAAATCTCAGCATATTTTTAAATAATTCTACTCTGCATAATGCTAGAAGCAAGTGATATCATTTTAAGGATATGAAAAAATCTTTACTTTTCATAGTTAGAATACACTGAGTTTCTGTCCTTTGGAAAAACTTCTCCTATCTAGCATGTGGATAGTACCAGTGTTAAAATTAACAGAGATTATAAAAGTAACAGAAATTAATGAGCACTTATCATGTTCTAAGCACTTTTCTAAGCACTTTATGTTATTACCTCATTTGATCATTAAGTAGATCTTATTACTGCTCCCATTTTACAGATGAGGCAATTGGAACAGGATTAAATTGACTTGTCCAACCTGCTAGTATGTGGCAGAAGTCTGGTTTCAAACCCATTGACTAGGACTCAAGAGTCTGTGTAGATTGCCATTCTGCCATTCCTTCTCTCTTCATATCATTGAAATGTATGATGAGTTACAATCATTTCAAATAAACATGTAACCCATTTTATGTCATACATGTTTTCTTAAAATGTTAAATAGCCTATTTTTTCACAAACTTTATTACATTTTTGATGCACTAGAAATGCAGGATAGCTAATGAAACAATGATAAAGTCTCTCTGAAAAGGATAGCTTTTTCCTTTAGGAGTCATACTTTTTATTTTTGAGTTGATATCTAGAGGATCTGTTTAAAACAAGATACATCAAAGATCATGATAGAACTAATGACCTAGTTGTATCGATACAGTAATTGGTACCCAGAGCCCTCACTGCTTAAAAGAAAATGAAAAGAAAATAGTGATGCACTTCGCTCATGTTGGTGCTTCAGCTGGACTTGAAATGCAATAGAAGAACAAAGCTTTATTACTAAAGTGGAGAGATGTGAGGCTATCTCAAAAAAAAATCCTGGTAAATATTTAAAATGTCAAGATTTTGTGATCATAAAGACACTACTGTTGACTGACAAAGGTGAGCAATGGTGTTCAAAACTATTTCCTACCCTCACTTCTGGTAGTTTCTACAGTCATTTAATAGAAACCCCACAGCTTTTAACAGGCAAGCCTTTCTTTGGGAAATCGCAGTTTTACATTGCTATTTACTCATCTCATTTTGTTCTTAGGGAGACCAAGTGAAACATATTTACTTTGTTTTTAAGTTGACTATAGATGTCCATACATTCCACCATTATTTTGACCAGGAAACAATTTGTAAGTGCTCATCTTTTTCATTTCTTCATTACCTTTATTCTGAAATAAGAAGAATCCTAAAAGATGGGTGATATATTTATATAAGCTTCTTGTGTATAAATGAGCTGTGAACTCCAGGCACCACAGCTCATTCTCTAGTTGAAATTCTAGAATATAACTTTGCCAGCCAACTTTTATCATTGTGTGTGTGTGTGTGTGAGCACACCCTCACGTGTCTGCTAACTTTGTAATTTTCATGAAAGCATTGCTATCAAGTTGGCTCAAAGCATCTGTTACTTTAAGGAGAGCTCAGCCAGAGAGGGCTCGGAGAGCTCAGCCAGGAGAGCTCAGCCAGAACTCCAGTTACATGCTTCAACATGTACCAGTCTTGTTTCATTTACTGTCCCAATAAACCTCTCTTCATCACCATTGGATTAATTTAAAATGACTCAAAGGTATTATATAATCTGAAAGTATTCCATTTCTAAGATACAAGAATTCTTTCATATCATGTACAATCTTGTCAGTGTTGTAAAATTTCTCTTTTATAATTGCAGTGTTTGTGTTCAGTTGATATGTCTTTTATGTCTTTTTAAATCAATGCATTTGTAAAGTTAAGCCAAATCATTGATTTTATAATATTTTTCTACATTCTAGTCTGCTAACTGAATCTCTCTTGTATCTTTGACAATTTCCTTCATTCTTTTATGTTTCCTACAGATTGGAAGCCAGAATAAGTGCTTGTCCAGATTCAGATTTGATTGTTTTTGTGAAGAATCATTCATAGATGGTGCTGTATACTTCCTATGGCATTGCATCAGGATATATATATATATATATATATATATATATATATATATATATAATGTCCTATGGTATCTTTTTTGTAATTGTAACATTAGCTGGTTCAGTTGGGGACAACCTGGTCCATTACAAAATTCTTCATCAGCCTTTTATTTTATGGTTTTAGAAACCAAAAATAATTTTTAATTCGTGGTTTTATTAGGGCTTCCCAACTAATAATATTCAAATTTGATTATGTCTGAATATGTTTAGCTAGAATTCTATTTTAAAATTTCTTCATTAGTTATTCAGTAGAGAAGAGTCAGAATAAATACTTGACTGTTTTTCTTTATCAGTGTTCAGAATAATAAGTTGGCTCCCTAGCAACCAGAAAAGTTGAGAATAAGAATGTTTAAAATGTTATTAGGAACTAATGGATTTAAAAAATGTAATGTGCTTCCATTCATTGCATGGTATTTGTTTGTTTTTTGATGCTTAACTAGTTCTGTATTTGTCCATTTGGAGTCTTCTCAAATTGTCTCACAACTCCATCATGGTCTGAGTGCACATATATTGCACATTCTTTTAAAGCTGTTGAAATGTGTTTTATGATTCAGAATACTAATATCTTGGTGAATGTTTTACGTTATCTTGAAAGGAATGTGTATGCTTGTGTTGTTCCATGAACTATTCTATAGGTGCTAAAGAGCCATTTAACTGATGGAGCTGTTGACTTCAACTATGTCCTGACTGATTTTCTCCCTGTTGGCTCTGTCAATTACTGATAGAGGGGTGATGATATATTATTTTCTAATAGTGGATTTAGCTAGTTGCTCTATCAGTTATCTTTGCTCTATCAATTCTGTTAGCTTTTGCTTCACTTATTTTGAGGTTCTTTGGTTAGGTACACTCATATTAAGGATTTTTACGTGTTCTTCAATAATTGATGCCTTTATCATTATGTAATGCCCCTGTATATCCTTGATAATTTTTCTTAGTATTTTACCTTTGTCTGAAATTTATATAGCCACAATATCGTTCTTTTTATTAGTGTTGGCATGATGCATATTTCTCCATAACTTTACTTTAGTATGTGTGTTTTTATTTAAACAGGGTTTCTTGTAGATAACATAAAATAGGGGGTTATTTTGAATTCATTCTGACAATCTGTCTTTTAATTGATGTATTTAGAAAATTTATATTTAAAGTAATTATTGGTACAGTTGTATTAATATCTGTCACATCTGTTATGATTGTTTGCTACCCTTATTTTTTTCTTTCACTCTGACTTCTCTGCTTTTGGTTGAGCATTTTATGAGTTTATATGATTCCATTTCTTCTCTACCGTTAGCATATAAATTATATATATATATACATATATATATATATATATATTTTTTTTTTTTTACTTTTTAAAGTGGTTATCCTTGAGTTTGAAATATATATGTACAACTAATTCAAGTCCTTTTTCAAAATTACACTATAATACTTTATGGGTAGAACAAACATAGGAGATTATTTCCAATTCCTCCCTCTTCCCCCTTACCACATTGAGGTGATTAATATTTCACTTACCTATAAGCTATAATCACTGAATACTATGTTGCTATTATTATAACTGAACTGTTATTTGTTAAATTATTTAAGAATAAGTGTATTTTATTTTTACCTTTATGTATTCCTTCTCTAATGCGCTTCTTCTCTTTATACAGTTCTGAATTTCTGACTTGTGTCATTTTCATTCCTTCTTAAAAATTCCTTTCAATATTTCTTGCAAGGCAAATCTATTGGTTAAAAATTTCCTCAAATTTCGTTTGTCTCAGAAAGTCATTATTTAGAGATTATTTTGTGGGATACAGAATCTTAGAATTCTTTTTTCATTCAACACCTTAAAATATTTTACTCTTTTTTCTTGCTTGCATGTTTTTTTGAGAAAATAGCTGATGTAATTATTATCCTTTCTGCTGGTAAAGTGTTCTTCTCTAGATTCTTTCAGAGCTGTATCTCTGTTTTTGATTTTCTGCAGTTTGAATATGATATGGTGAGGTATAAGTTTTTTAGTGGTTATCCTCCTTGGCCATATCCGACCTTTCTGGATCTGTATTTGCTATTTATTATTAATTTGGGGGCATTCTCTATCATTATTTAAGCAAATACATTATTTTTTCTTTTATTTTCTCTCTTCTCCCTCTAGTATTCTCATTATGAGTATGTTATGACATTTGTAATTGCCCTATAGTTTTTTTTATATTTTATTCTGAATTTTATTTTTTCACTTTGCATTTCAATTTGGAATTTTCTATTGATATTTATTCAACTTCATTCTTTCTTTCTCTGTGTTTCCTTTGTTTTAGTCCTTTAGTGTTCATTTTAGAGAAGATCTGCAAGTTGTGAATTCCTTCAGCTTATGATTGTTTGTTTCTATATATGACAAAAGAATATGACAAAATGAATAGACGAATGTTTTTTTTTATTTTGAAGGGTATTTTCACAGAGTATAGATTTTGGGGGGTTTATGTTTACTTTTAATATTTTAAAGATATCATTCTCTTATCTTTCAGCTTCTATAGTTTTTGACAAAAATTTAAACATTAGTCTTGATTTTCCTTTGAAGATACAATGACTTTTTTCTAACTGCTTTAAAATATTTCCCTTTGTCTTTGATATTTGGCAATTTGAGTAGGACATATCCAGATGTGATCATCTTTATATTTGTCCAAATGGGTTTTAGTGTGCTTTATAAATGTGAATTGATAATTTTATCTGATTTGAAAATTTCCAGATAAATACTTTATCAAATATTGTTCCTATTCCATGTTCTTCTCTTTTTCTGAGCAATAACTATAATTCAAACTATTTTATTATGTTCCAAATATCTCTTTCTTTTTAAAATTGTTTTCTTCTCTGCTTCAATATGTAAAATTTTTATTGACCTGTCCTTGGGTTCGCTAATTCTTTATTCTATCTAATTTTTAGTATTATTAAAATTTTTAATTTTGATTTTAAATTTGACTATTATTAAATAAGATTATTTAATATTATTTTTATTGAATTATTTAATCTTGTTTTTATTAAGATTATTTAATATTCTTTTAAATTTCATTAATATATAAGCAGAGTTATTTTGAAGACTTTTAATTTCAATTCTATTAACTGGATCATCTCTTGAGATCCTTTATACTTTTTCTCTAAACTTTAGTTACCTACTTTCATGATTATTTTAAAATCTTATTTTAGGTTCAAGGGTACAAGAACAGATTTGTTGTATAGGTAACTAGCATGTCATGAGGTTTGAGGTACAGATTATTTTGTCACCCACGTAGTACCCAATAGGCAGATTTTCAATCCTCTCCCTCCTCCCACTCTCCTCACTCAAGTAGGCCTTGGTGTCTAACATTCTTTTCTTTGTGTCCATGTGTTCTCAATGGTTAGCTCTGACTTATAAATGAGAACATGTAGCATTTTGTTTTCTGTTTCCACATTAGTTTTCTTAGGATAAGCAGGTCTCCTGCAGCATACATGTTTCTGAAAAAAAGATGAGTTCTTTCTTTTTTTATAACTGCATAGTATTCCATGGTGTGTATTTTCCACTTTTTCTTTATCCAGTGTACTACTGATGGTCATGTAGATTGATTCCATGTCTTTGCTATAGTGATTAGTGCTGCCATGAACATATGCATAAATGTGCATAAACCATGGTGGAATGATTTATATTCCTTTTGGTATATACTTGGTAATGGAATTCTTGAATCAGATGGTAATTCTGTGTTAAGTTCTTTGAGGGATCTCCAAATTGCTTTCTGTAATGGCTAATTTACGTTCCCAGCAGCAGTGTGTAAATGCTCCCTTTTCTCCACAAGCTTGGAAGCATCTGTTATTTTTTGACATTTTAATAATAGTCCTTCTGACAGGTGTGAGATGGTATCTCAGTATGGTTTTGATTTGCATTTCTCTAATGATTAGTGGTGTTAATAATTTTTTATATGTTTGTTGGCCACACGTATGTCTTCTTTTGAATAGTGTCCTTGCCCACTCTTTAATGGGGTTGTTTTTTGCTTGTTCATTTGTTTAAGTTTCTTATAGATTCTGGATATTACACCCTTTTTGAATGCACAGTTTGCAAATATTTTCCACCATTCTGTAGGTTGTGTGTTTATTCTATGTATTTGTCTATTCTTGCATTGCTATAAAGAACTACCTGAGACTGAGTTTATAAAGAAAAGAGGTTTAATTGATTTACAGTTCTGCAGGCTGAACAGGAAACATGGCTGGGGCGGTCTCAGGAAACTTACAATCATGGTGGAAGGTGAAGAGGAAGAAGATACATCTTATATGGCAAAAGCAGGAAGAAGAGAGTGAAGGGGTAAGTGCCACAGACTTTTAAACTACCAGATCTCATAAGAACTCACTGTCATGAGAACAGCAAGGGGAAAGTTTGCCCCTATGAGTCAATCATTTCCCACCAGGCCCCTCCTCCAACACTGAGAAAACTATAATTTGACATGAGAATTAGGTTGGGACACAGAGTCAAACCATATAATGCTGTTGATAGTTTATTTTGCTGTGCTGAAACTCTTTTAATTTGGTCTCATGTGTCCATTTTTTGTTGTTGCTTTTGCAATTGCTTTTTGCACCTTTGTCATGAAATCTTTGCTAGGGTCTATGTCCAGAATGGCATTTCCTAGATTATTTTGCAGCATTTTAATAGTTTCATGTTTTACATTTAAGTCTTCAATCCATCTTGAATTGATTTTTGTATATGGTGTAAGAAAGGAGTCCAGTTTCAATATTCTTAATATGGCTAGTCAGTTACCCCACAACAATTATTGAATAGGGACTCCTTTATCTATTGCTTGTTTTTGTCAACTTTGTCAAGGTAATCTAAATGCTTGTAGTCATGGGGTATTATATCTGAGCTCTCTCTTCTGTTCCATTGATCTACATCTCTGTTTTGGTATGAAACCCATGCTGTTTTGTTACTGTAGCCTTGTTGAATAGTTTAAAGTTTGGTAATGGGATGCCTCCAGCTTTTTTCTTTTTGC